CTTGTAGGTGTATTTTCAGACGTTTAATGAGGCTCAGAGGTCGCATGAGTGCAATTAAATTCGTAAATTCATGTTGAGGTTAATGTTTTAAGTATGCAATTTTGAATATAGAAATATTAAATGATTTAAATAACAGAAAAGATACTTTAAAAATTTAACTAAAACTGCCAGCAGGTGGCGGCAAGTCACTGATTTTATCACTGAATCATTCATTTATTTAATTCGTTTGAACGGCTGATTCATTCAGGAACGAAGTACATGACTGTCTTGTAATTGAATCATTGACTCACTAGATTTGTTTAAAAACGCAGTTCATTCATAAACGAAACACCACTGTGTTTGAATGGAGATGCGCAGCGGCTCAGCTGTTGCTTTGTTTGAAACTATTTTCGTTGACGAAATAGAGCAAAGTAAGGCAATAGTGTTGTAGTCAGACAATATAAGTAATTTATTAACTTCTTGTTTAATGAACTGTTTGAAATGAATAGCACATTTGCAAACTCCCTTAATAATCATTAAAAGCTGTCACTCATCTTAGTTCATCGCGATCTCACAAAACTCCATTATAATCAACGAGGCTCCTTACACTGCACAATGAATCTCTTATTTACACTGTCTACACTTTGTTTGTTATAATGAGAGGATACGTCTGTGATGATACATTACTCAACGCTGCAAAAACACGTTGTAAGTATGTTAGAAACCATTGAAGCTTCCTCAGCGCAAACACAAATATGCTGATCGGGTCAGTCGCACAGGTGCTCCTAAATATTTTTTCATAGTCTCACGCAGTAGTTTTCAGTCGCAAATGCTAATAGTAATAATAATAGTCGACTACTTAAAAAAAAAAATATATATATAAAAAATAATACCAAAAAATGTAAAGAAAAAAAAAAAACAATTGTGCTCACACCTTATTGGTTTCTTTCACCAATAATTAAATAGTAATCCATAGTTTTTACTTTCAAAAACCACAATTTTGACAGTATTTTCCACTAAAATTGCATATAATGTAATGTTAAAGTATTAATAGTTTTTCACTGTACATAGTAAGGTAACATTATTTTTTCTGAAAAAATTGCAAGCATTTTTACAGTGCACTAATATTATGGTTATTTATATTTAGTGTACAGTAATTACTGTGATTTAGGCCTATATATTGGTACTTTATTTACTAATTTCTCTTTCATCTGTATTGGAAATTGCTATATTTGTAGCTATTTCTGAGTTCAGGTTTGGTCAGATAGAAATAATCTTGTGTGAGTATGTATTAACCTAAATCTCTTTTTTTACCCAAAAATATTGAACTCATTTTTTCTAAAACATGAACAATTTAACAAAATTATCATTATTTTTAATATTCTGACAAAGTATATTGAGGTGAAATGTTGCAATACTTTGAAATAGTGAGTTTTTTTTTTAAATTTCATGTTATCCTTTGAAGGAAGAAAGGCTCTGTTCTTATTACAGGGGTAAAACGTTTGCTTGCTTTATAGATTATATATAGAATATGTGTGTGTCCTTGTGCTGTAATGTCCTGCATGAACACATTCAATATTAGTTTTGTTGGCTATGTATGTAACTGTCAGACAGTGGCAATTCAAAATGAGTTTTGAGGACTCAGGAGAGTGTGTGTGTGTGTGTGTGTGTGTAGTGGCAGCGCATGCTGTATGAGCTAACTCAATTTTAGCAAGGCCTTTTCCTGCTCCACTCCAGCTGGGTCAAAGCCTGACACACTCTGTGACGGCACAAGATTGATGTCTTGCTTTGCTAGTGGGCTGAACAGAGGGAGGAGAGGAAGAGAGACACAGGCAGTAGGACGAGTGGGAGGAATGGAGAGAGCGGAAAGAGATATAGTTGTATGAAATGCAATATTTGGGAGGAGAAGGAAGTCTTGCCCTTTAAAAGTGACGAAGGTGCTGTTTAATGTCAGTAGCGGAGGACTTAATTATCTTTAAAGAGGGAGATTTTTAAAAGAAACTCAAACCCTAGGGACCAACACACAAGGTTATACACACACAGAGACCCCTGTGCTAATTAGCCTTTTGGAGCTAATGACCAGACACCAGCGCACTACTTTAAATAAACCTGGACTTTTCACTTTTTGTCTGTGAACACTGGCAGTAACCCCAAAAAGTATCTGGATACCTAGGCCACGCTTAAATTTATGAATGTCTTTGCATTACGTAACAAAATATTATACCGTATGTTAGTTTGGGTTGGTTTTGGTTGAACCTAAATTGGTTAAACCTAATGCACCAAAATGGCTAAGAAAGGTTCTCACATCATTTGTTTTCAGATTTCACTTTTTTTAAAATCTGTAACTCAATGGAATTAATTTAGATTGATCCAAATTGTGGCTTTTCTGACCAAATCCTTTGTGGAGCATATTTATGTGAGTTTAAAAAAATGAAAAATTAGTCACCATTTTCTTAAAGGGATAGTTCACCCAAAAATGAAAACCTGTCATTAATTACTCACCTTTATGTCATTCCGAACCAGTAAGACCTTCATTCATCTTCGGGACACAAA